TTTAAAGACCGATGGTACATGTTCAGCAACTATTATCGATTTAATTTTTACTAATGTGGCAGAGTTATGCTCTGAGGCAGTATCTATTCCAGTTGGCTACAGTGACCACAATTTAATTGCAGTTATGAGGAAGACAAAGGTACCTACACAGGGACAACAATTTATTTGTAAAAGGACTTTTAAACATTTCAAAGAAAATGATTTTATAGCAGAAGTAAGCAACATAGATTGGTCAGAGGTACTACAAGAACAAGATCCAGATAAGGCAGTGGTGGTCTTTAACAATCTGATAACAAAGGTGATTGATAAACATGCTCCAATGAGGAAACAAGCAGTGAGAAATGTCTCTGCTCCATGGCTGGACAAAGACCTGAAGCAATACATGAAGCTCAGGGATAAAGTCAGAACAGAGGCCATAAAAACAAATCAATTGGCAAAATGGAATGAATATCGAAAATTACGAAATTTTGTCACCAAATTAAATAAAAATAAGAAACGCCTATATTATCATAAAAAGATTAATGAGGTTAAATCGGATAGTACGAAATTATGGAATACATTAAATGAACTTATGGGCCAGAAAACAAGATCTACTCCTACTTTTTTGGAGGGAGACGGAATATATCTTACTAAACCAAGGGAAATTGCTAATTACCTGAGCCAGTCTTTCACTAACAAAATAAAAACAATTAGAAATGACATGGCAGTGAGACAGGAAGAAAATATTACTTACCAATTAATAAGGAAATATATAATGCAAACCAAAAATATTACATTCAAATTTGCTGAGGTAACAGAGGATGATGTCAAAAAATTGTTGAAAGAAAGTAAAGAAAAACCCTCTGGTGCTGACAATATTGAGGTCAGACTATTAAAGATGGTAGTAGATTTTGTTCTGTTGCCTGTTTCTCATATAATCAATTTAAGTTTAAGGAAAAACATATTTCCATCACCATGGAAGATGGCAAAATTGATCCCTTTAATTAAGAATAATAAAGAACCATTGTCAAGTCAAAATAGCAGACCAATAAGCTTGTTACCTGCATTAAGCAAAATTATGGAAAAAGTAGCATATGACCAAATGCAGGAATATTTTACAGCTCAGGGATTAAATACAATTTATCAGCATGCATATAAAATGGGTCACTCCACAACTACTGCACTTACTCAGATTACCGATCATTGGTTACAGGAAATTGATAATAAAAAGATGGTTGGCACAATATTTTTAGATTTAAGTGCGGCTTTTGATCTTTTAGATCATACAATTTTACTAAATAAGTTGAAATGTTATGGATTTCAGTTGCCTGCCTTAAAGTGGTTAGAAAGTTATCTAAGTAATCGGGAGTATAAAGTTTATTTTAATGGACATTATTCTGAGATTGGACATATGGATTGTGGAGTGCCCCAGGGAAGTTGTTTGGGACCCCTTTTATTTTCGATTTTTACAAATGATCTTCCCCTGGTGTTAAAACAGGCAACCATGGCTATATATGCAGATGACACAACATTGTCTGCGTCTGCACAAACAGACTGCCAACTTAATAACATTCTACAGGAGGAACTGACTTTAGTAACTCAATGGATTAGAACTAACAAATTAGTGGTTAATGTCGAAAAAACTAAATGCATGGTAGTTGGTTCAAAACACCTATTGAAAACAACACCGATGTTACATTTGACTTCAGGAAATACGAGAATTGAACAAGTAGATCAAGAAAATTGTTGGGAGTGATTGTAGATTCTAGACTGTCGTGGACCAGTCAAATTAATTGTCTATTACAGAAAATGGGGAGGAGTATGGGCATAATTAAATATTGTAGAAAGTGTATTCCTCGGTGGTTGACCAAACAACTAGTTCAATCACTTGTACTTTCATACTTAGACTATGCATCAGTTGTTTGGTCAAACACAAGTGAAAATAATTTACATAAGTTACAAGTAGCTCAAAATAAAGCAGCACGGATTGTTTTAGGTTGCCCATACAGAACCAATGTGAGGACAATGCATGATAGTTTGGCGTGGTTAACAGTCAAATGTAGATTAAAGTATTTCCTAATAACATTTATTAGGAACATTATTATGACAAAAATACCTAAAGTCATACATAATAAATTGTCATTTTTCTCAGATAATCATAGTTATGGAACACGTCAGACCAGTGCAACAAGGTGTGCTCTACCCTGTTGTAAAACTAATCAGATGCAGCGAACTGTTTGTTACAGAGCCGTGGTTGCCTGGAATTCTTTACCAGGATTTTTGTTGTTAGAAAACAGCAAAATATGTTTTAAAAATAAACTAAAGGTGTTTTTGTTTACACAAGAATGATGTTGGATTAATACGGTAACTAACCATGTGATAGGCAAGTTCCAAGCTGGTGCTGTAATGGGATCCGTGGGCAGTCGAGTTGTTAGGTTGAGATTTATGTTTCATACAAAACTTCAAATGTTTTGATTACTGTAAATGTTTTACTTTTGTTTAGGTAATGGATTATTCGTTTTACTTTGTTAAATGGAAATGGTAAAAATGCTGTTATTGCTGTTTTAGGTCGATTCTACTTATCTATTTTTTGGTTTTATGTGATATCGTTGGCCGTATGGCCATAATTGTTTAGGTCATTTTGTATTGTTGAAATGGTAATGAGGAAAAACAATGTGTTTCCTATAAAATGTCTTTTACATGTTTTACGGGCAAAGATGAGTCGGGCGGTTGTGCTGTGTGGCTAGCGACATGTTTTGTTCGGTTTCACATTGAGCTCCCACGGTTGGTTTGTGTGTATGTGTGTGTGTTGTGGTTTTGTTTGTTTTGTTATGTTGTAAACATTTGTAATGAAAATGAAGGAGACCCCAGGTAGAATAGCCCCGGCAATAAGTCAGGAGCTAATGGGGCTCTCAATAAAATGAAATGAAAAATGAAATGAAAAGTGTCAGTAAGCTGTGAATCTATAGCTGTTTGTCACAAGACTTCATGTGGGGGCTGTCATGTGCGTGGGCTTCTGTTTGACACAACCCAATGCTGAGCCTTACTCCGCCCACATTAACATTTGAAAATTCTCTCCTAAAAAGGGCGTTGCCGGGATGAACCAGGGGCAAGGAGGGGGCTGTTTCGAGCTGGGCGTGACAAGCGAGCTGTCAGTCACAGCCCACACCAAAAAAATTAGACAGTTATCATTGCTGGCTTTAAAGAAACTTTCACACACCAGAAATTCTCATTCCTTGTTTACACACACTAAGTATATATATTAATGTATAGCTAGACAACCGAGCCTAAGCCACAGAATGAACTCTGTAGCAGTAGTGGTTCTCAACTGAGGTAATGTTTAAAAACTTCTAAATGTCGCCTGAATACTCGCAATGGGGCATGTGTGAGACTTGTCTGCATTTATACCACTGGCGCAGACATCACACATCACTCCAGAGCCAATGGAGAGGTCAGGCACCAAATATAAATGTAGTGTAGAGAGGGTGCCACAGATGGTTAAAGTGATAGTCTGTAACTCTAAATGAATTACAAATTTTAGGAAATGTATTAAATTGACCTCCTGGCCTTAAATGTTGATATAAAATAAGTCATTTTATTAATTCTAATATTACGGGCAAGTCCCGCCTTCCCTGCTCTTAGCTATAGCTAGCTATAGAATCCACGGTGCCGTCGAGGTTAACCAATCGAGTCATGCCAAGGGCTGTCAATCATCGGCGCTGATGCTGCAGCTGCTCATGCTCAGTTGTTTGTTTTTGCGGAGCCTCTATTAGGCTCTGGAACTACATGAAAAGTGAACAAAGAATTCTGAACATCCACGCTGAGTTACTTATGTATATACTGAACCTATATCCATAATCATTTATATATAAACATATATCCATAATCATTTATATATGAACCTATATCCATAATCAGATCCTCTGCAGATGTTTCTATAATGTGCAGTTCATAATAATAGCACTTCCTGGTTTGCCGCAATCGCTTTTTTTGTGCATAAAAACATTATTTTTTTCATTAAAACATTCACAAATAATTCTGAAAACCTCTGTGCATGTGTATTAATAATCTATATGTATAATGTGTTCTCTGATTAACATTTCAAAGTGTTACGGAAATGTAGGTGTAGACCAATCAGAAAGGAAGGGGGAGGAGCTTGGGTCGTTTTGTTCAAATCAAGCACCTCTCTCTCTCTCTGACAAACTGCAGACATCACTTTAAGGCTCAAAAGTGAGATTTTATCTAATTTGCACTAAAATGTAAAATAAATGACCAGGACATGTAGACAGCTCTATAAGAAACATGTTTTTGAAGTTTATAAGTTAAAAAAGTTGCTTTGATGCAAGTGAATCTCTCGTTTATTGTTTACCTATACAGAAAAAAACAGCAATATTACGATAGCTTAGAATATGGACATTTTTCTCAGGCTTTCACATTGTAATTTTTTCTCCTTTGAGTTGGTTCATTCTTAAGAACTCCACACTGGGTATTTTCTCACAAATTTTCCAATGTGATTTTTAACTGAAAATGGAAAATGCACTGATTCTGAATATGAAAATGAACTGCCAATCTAATCGTCAATTATATACAGTTCAAAATATATATTGTAGATATTTTAACAAGTAATTGCCCTTATAGATGAATTTTAGATAAAGTTTGCATGAGACTAGGTGTAAAAGAGGCACCTCATCTCATGCACCTAGAGATATATGCTGAACTCTTTTTTTTTACTGTCAACAATTTAGGTTCTTTTGCTCAGACTGAGCCTCATGTCGTAAACAGGACGTAGCAGTTGCTCGGTGGTGAACAGGTGGCTGTCAGTGTGGCTGGAGTTTCTGATTTAACGCTCACACTTGTCCCAGTCTTTCCCTTCATTGATGCATTCCCACACACGTCCCTGAGAGAGAGACACTCGGATTCGGCTCAGAGCAAACTCTTCACAAACTTGATCCCAAACTACATCTTTATTATCCCTGATTAGTTTTAAACGAACTCTTCCACTGATACAGAACACATGGCTAATGGCTGCTCTTGTTTATGCTGGATTCATACGGAAACAAAATGATCAAAGTGGAGCTGTTCTCAAGGCTGAGGCGTGGATATACTTTGAAAGGTGTGTATTAAACTGGAATAATTGGCTCCCTAAATGTATGTTTTAAATATTTGTGATGCTTTAATTAACATAATTGTTGGTGAGAGATTTTGCAAAACACATGGCCATAAGTCCTAATCACACGGGTGCAGACTGCAGCACATTTATCTGCACTAATCTTCTGATCCATATGCTACTTTCGGTATTCAGTTTTGAAAACAATTTTGGTAGAATTTCAGTGAATGATAGACATGTTAAATAATAAATAACATGAATAATGATGATATTAATCAAAAGATAATTAATCGATTAGTTGTTTAGAATATGTGACTTAAACTCAAGTCTTCTTCATAGAGATGTCTTAGTCATAAAATATGTTTCAAAACATTATTACCAATTTCTAGATTAATACAATATTTCAAATCAATTCCTGAGACTTTCTGCCTTGCAAACACAAAGTAACCATTGAGCTACTTTCATACTGTCATCCAGCCAACTTTAGCTCCAACAATTAATTTATGGAATACTTTTGGAATCCAGATGTTAACATTTTTATAAATAAATTTATTTTGGTTTTGTCACAACATTGTATGTACAGAGAAATGCAGCTGTGGCGTGAATCAATATGGACTTATCATACCCCATTTTATAGCCCAGAACAACCTCAATACAGTCAAAATCCTTGCTGTTGCCCCCTTTAATCATGGTTAATTAACTAAGATAAGATAAACCTTTATTAGTCTCACAGTGGAGAAATTTCAGTGTCATCGTTGCACATTACAGCAGAGAAAGGAAATAAGAGCACTCAGATTGCACACATTAAAGTCTATTATTTAAGATAACTAGACTGGTTTAGTTAACTATTCTTACTATTGGTTTGGTTAACTATGGTTAACTAAAGTTGACCACAAGCTGCACAGGTTTAACCATGGTTAACTTCAGTTACCCATGGTTAAACCTGCATTACCTCACTTTATTTTTGTATTTTTGGGTGGGGGTGGGGGGGGGGGGGGGGGGGGGGGGGGGGGGGGGGGTTGCAACATTTGTCACGTACACATGCATGATACAAGAAAAAAAACATTAAATAACAATGAAGATTTACTAATGCATTAAAATATTGCTGTTTTATTTTCCCCCAGGGGCCTCAGGCAGTTGGAGGGCTGTCCTCAGAGCGGGGCTGGACATGAGTTGCCTCTGAGCCGGCTGCCTGCTGCTGTGCGGTGGATGCAGAATGCCGGTGCAGGCGGCCCAGTGGACTGAGTTTCTATCCTGTCCTATTTGCTACAATGAGTTCAATAGCTGCGGCCATCAGCCCATCAGCCTGGGCTGCTCCCATACAGTCTGTAAGACCTGCTTACACAAGCTGCACCGTAAAGCCTGTCCCTTTGACCAGACTCCCATCAGCACAGACATTGACCTCCTGCCTGTCAACTGTGCCCTGCTGCAGCTGGTCGGTGCGCAGGTCAGAACAGCAGCATTATTTTATTAACATGTTCATTCACACATCAACATAGAAAGGAGACATCTAATGAAAACCTTTAACCATGTCATAATTGTCCCCTCATCAAAAACAGACCCAGAGTTGTTTTAACTCTTTCCACTATATAATATTAGGAAAGTCTGTAGCAAAATGTAACTGACGCTGCTGTGTCAGTTCTGTATGATGTAATTGTACCACTAGGGCATCACGCAGCAAGAGCAGTTTTCTTTTTGAAACAAAAGTTGTTCAGTTTTTCAGGTTGAATTAGGTTATTGGCTGTGTTTGCCCATTCACTTTTGACTTAGGATACTGTATTACTTTACATTACATACACTACATACATTTTGAGCGGCACTTGAAAAATGTTCCTGATGTGTGTTTGGGTTCCAGGTCCCAGATGAGAGACCCCTAAGCCTGAACTCAGCCGCACTGCAGCACTATGAGGTGTGCAGTGACTGTGTGGAGGAGATGGCACTCTACCTCAAACCATTTGCCGGGGTCAAAGGTAACATAGTACCACTGTACCATGTGAATGTGCCTTTTTTTAAACTCATCATATTTTCTTGGCCAACATGTCACACATTTGCACAATGGGAGACAAGAGTGTTGATATAATCCTTTGTGTTTTTACCCATGAATGTGGCACTTGTGTATTCCAGGAGTGGCCAGCCCGAGTGTGCTGAGTCGGCCCATGCAGAGGAAGCTGGTGACGCTGGTGAACTGTCAGCTAGTGGAGGAGGAGGGCCGTGTTCGGGCTGTGAGGGCAGGCCGCTCTTTGGGGGAGCGCACTGTCACAGAGCTCATCCTGCAGCACCAGAACCCACAGCAACTTTCTGCAAATCTGTGGGCCGCAGTCAGGGCGCGCGGATGCCAGTTCCTAGGACCGGGTATAAGGCCACCCTCCTAATGATATGATACTACAGGATGCCAAACTTTGTCATTGTCCATGAAAAGGACAACACAATTATCAAATAAATAATAACAAAAATAGTGACAAGTACTGTTTTGTGCATTCTGCCAGCGTTGCACATGATTGCAGTATTTGAAAATGGAAATATGAAATTGGTTGCAGTTATAACCCTCGACTCGATTTTTCTGTGCCTTGGCTTAGCTAATAAAATACCCTAACTTCTGAAATATATCCTATCTGAAACAGTCCATTCCGTTCATGTAATCCTTCTCTTTGCTTTCAATATCGTAGCTGTATTTCTAAGTTTGTAAACCTATTCCTAGTTAAGTTTTTGAGACAAATCTGCTGTCATTCTTGGATGTGACATTTCACTGTTTCATATTTTTTGTCGGTGAAGCAGTTTATGTCCTGTGATGATTACTCATAGGGCAGATTCTGACTGAGAATCATTTCTCATCATGATAAAACTATGAGTTCAATTCAAGTCTGAGGACACTTGCTTTCACCTCTACATTTTTTTTCCACATAGGCGTTATGATGGTGCAGTGGTTAGCACTTGTGCTTTTCATCAAGAAACTGGGTTCTCAAATTCTCCCCAGTTTCATCCGTGTGCTCCAGTTTTCCGGGGAATGAGAGTGTGACTGTGGGACTACAGATCAGCTACAAAAGATAAACTCTGGTGTAGCTCCTGCAGTTCATTAATGACTGTCACTGTCATATAAAAAAGCATGTCTTTTGTAAATTAAACTAACTTTTGTGTTTTGTATACATACAGCGATGCAGGAGGATGCGTTGAAGCTGGTGCTGCTAGCTCTGGAGGACGGCTTGGCTCTCTCCAGAAAAGTCTTGGTTTTGTTTGTGGTGCAGAAGTTGGAGGCCCGTTTTCCTCAGGCCTCAAAAACCAGTATTGGCCACGTGGTGCAGCTGCTTTACAGAGCCTCATGTTTCAAGGTAAAATATGAGAAAAGAAATCAGGCAAATCTGGCCATCCATAAGTCCTGTGAAGAGTAACATTCTACCACTTTACATCCATAATGTCATAAATGTGCAATAAAGAATGTATTTTATTATTGTTATTATTACTATTTGTTATGCTTGCTGACCACACCTACATTTGAAACTGAATAATAATGCCTAAAAGTCGTAAATGTGAATTTGTTTGTACATTAGTGAAAGTGTGTGTCCGGAGCAGGCTGTCCATGGGTTGTGTGGGTGTTTGAGCAGAGAAATGTCAGCTATTCACTGTGATATAACAGCAAGGCTAAGTTTGCCCTGGTCATTTCAGACGCACAGATAGTGGTGCTGGGGAACTAACCATGGGTTCTTTCTGTCATTGTCATTCAAGTTTAAATTGAGGTTTCCTAGTTTTTGTTTAGGATTATCCTAAAATTAATATTATATTAATTTAAACAATTATTACATTTAAAAAAAATAACATTTACATTGCTAACGTTGCCCTGGAATTAAATTCAATAAAGATATAAGGTAACCCAAACTGCTAAAAAAAAAGTGTTTTAGTGTGATTTCATGCAGTTGGTAGAGCATTGGCCTTTGAGCCTGAAGGTCGTGGGTTCGAGCCCACCGTAAGACCTACTTCACGACTCCCACTGATGACTGCTGTCGTTGTGTCCTTGGGCAAGACACTTAACCCCACTTTGCCTGAAGCTCCCACTGAAAGATCCAGGCTCCTGTGGACTCAGCACCTGCAGGAGGATCAGTGAGGGGCTGGTGCTCTGTGGACTGGATTAAGGGAAAGAAGATGGATGGATGTTCCAATTTAAAATATCAAACATAATGAAATAATGATCGTCAGATATATTGTTGTCCTTTGTTGATCTGATTTGGATAACGTTGGAAAACGGGTTTATTCGGAACATAACAAAGAACATGACACAGGACTAACCATAGACAATCATTCACTCCTCATTAAAAAAACATGTTTAGGATAAACACAACTGACATGTCCATAATATTGCACTAAGCAAGCATAAAAATCCCATTTCTTACTGTTTTATACCATTCATAAAACAGTGCAATCGCTCGGTTCAAACATCATCTACATGTTTTATTCTGTGTCTTTGCTTTGTCCTTATAAAGATTCCTTTATTCATTGATTAAGCTGTTTATCACATTCATTTGGCCTATCCTGTTTTCTGTAACATAACCATGATAGAGAATACTATATATTCCTTGAAAATGTAGTTTGTGATTTTGAGTGACGGCTACTTCAGTTGTTTGTTTTTTGTTAATGAACAAAAATAATGTGAGATTTGCTTGCTACTCGCAAAACAAAATTTCAAAACCAATCATAATTTAAATAAAATATATATATATCACATCTGTGTGAAGTTTCAAAGCCCTCGGTCTTTGCATGTTTGTATGTTATAACGCGTTATTGTGATTCGTAGAGGATACCAAGGGATATGGAATCCTGAATTCCCTAAAACCCTTGTCTCTAAACTCTCAGGTGACTAAACGTGATGAAGACTCGTCCCTGATGCAGCTGAAGGAAGAGTTTCGAACATATGAAGCGCTCAGAAGAGAACATGATGCACAGATAGTACATATTGCCATGGAAGCAGGCCTACGCATTTCACCTGAGCAGTGGTCCTCACTGCTGTATGGAGATCTAGTTCACAAATCACACATGCAGTCTATTATTGATAAGGTATAGTCATTTATATTAATGCTTATACTATATGATAACATGCTTTCAATTAAAATGTCCTCTCTTGTTTGTTTTATTAGTTGCAGTCTCCTGAGTCATTTGCAAAAAGCGTGCAGGAGTTGACCATTGTCTTGCAAAGAAGTGGAGATCCAGCTAACCTCTCCAATCTGAGACCAAATCTGGAATTACTTGCAAACATAGATCACAACCCTGGTGTGTCTCCAGAATTAAATTAATACGCTTCTTTTCAAATGCATAAATAATGCATACTTTATTCCACCTTCCCACATCTGTACTCTCAGACGCACCAACACCATCATGGGAGGAGCTGAAAAGTGTGATGTTTTCTGTAAAACAAGTTGTTCATGGTCTTGTTGGATTCATTCAGAATTTTAGTAAAAAGAGCAATGAGGCCCCACAGGTTGGCTAACTCGATCCATTGAAACAAAATTACACGTGGCTCATTATTACACACTTTTTTCTGTTTGCAGCCTCAGACCAACGCTAAATACAAGACCAGTATGTGCAGAGATCTGCGTCAGCAGGGTGGCTGTCCCCGAGGAACCAACTGTACCTTTGCACACACACAGGATGAGCTGGAGAAGTATGGCACTAACATGGAACTACTATACTGTATATAAGTTAATTTGAGCTATTCTTAGATCGTATTAATTGTTATTTTTTTGTTTTGCAGGTTTCGTCTGAGAAACAAGAAAAGTGGCAGCCACTCTCTCCACATAGGGCAGACTTTGACCATTGAGGGTGAAGATATTGGCACATTGGAAGACACTGAAGTATTAGAGGGGATGCCCCACCATCCTCAGCTCAGCTCCAGAGGCACTGACAGTCTGGAGACCCTCAAGAGAACAACTGAACCCAGTGCAGCAAATAGAGCCAACCCTCGAGATCCAGCCAGTGGAGCCTTGTCTGAATCCCCAGAAAAGTAGGGATTAGTACAAAAATTAGTCACATAATTTTCCTTTGTGTTGAATGTTTGTGTTTGGTTTCTTTGTTTGCATTATCAATAAGATATCATTTTAATATTTTCAAACACAACGTTGATATACTTCTATGAATATGCAAGTAGACAAGGCAGCTCCACCTGTGCTTGGAACCTGCCTTACCCAGCTGCAGACAGACTATCGTCTCACACGGGCGGTGAGTGGGCCAATGGTGAGGGACCATGGACCCCTGCGGTCTGATCCCACAATATTCCCAGGAGGTAGTCAAACTGGGGACACTCGCAGGCCTGGAACGTCATCATACATAAACAACACAATTTTAGAACTTGCAATATCGCAGAAATATCTTCACGTGACCATACCTGGGAACCAAGATTGACAGGGACTTCAAACACCAACCGAATCAGGAAGTACGGCAAGCGGTAGACGTAGATGCCCGTCCCCTACTGCCTGGCCAGCCTTAATACTATACTGTAGGCCATGAAGGCAGCTGACTGCGCCTTGAAATTCTGCCACTCCATTGGCTCTGCCCCCGAGAAGAAGTACTAGGTTTGAGAAGGAGATTGGTGATGCCAACACTTAGGCGTTATACTCAGACCTATAGATAATGTTATAATTACTTTAATGAACAGGGACCAGCAGTTACTCATTAAAGGATTTTTATTTACTGAGTGCCTTGGATCTCCTCTTTCCTCAAATACCAGGGTTTTTCCACTGCTGATCCTGATGATCTCCTTACAAACATGTACCCACTGAAGCACTCATCTTTCTTGAACTAATTGAGGCACTGATGTTTTTTGCTGTTGTTTAGAAAATCCATGTCCCGTTCAGCGACTCCTGTAAACCATCCATTGGCCTCGTCTCCCTTGAACACGACTGGATGTGCTGATGGTTGTTCTCAAGGACCAAAACACAGTCCTTGTTTAGCTCGGGCCCCACACCAAGCCTCTGGGTTATATTACCAGGATGCACACTCACCCTACGACGCTCCCCAGTTTCAACCAGCCTGTGAGTACCATTACACTTTTGTTATTGTTTATTTAAATCAGGTTTTGCTAAAGTAAGATATTAACACCAGGAGCAAGAGACCATAATACAAAGTTCCAATTTAACTTTTTCGCCCCACTTTTAAAATGGTGGGGGCATCAACATAGTAAATGTCAATAATGACGTTGTGAGACCATGGACGTCGGAACTATTTTCTGAGAGGGGGGGCGGGTTTTTGTTGGGAGAGTCGAGGGAGAGACTCATACTTGGATTACACTGGATAATAACATACCATCTTAATTGTTAAGAAAAACAAAATAAACAATATATATCAAGCGAGTCACTTATCAAACTGAACTTTTTTTTTTTCAATACGCATTCATGCGTCAGTCTCTCCGGTGGCTTCATTGTGTTGTGTAGCCCAGTGACGGGAGGAGACACCCGTTTTTTTTACTTTTTAAAACTCATTGAACTTATTTCCAAATGGAGGATTACATGTCTGTGCTCAAACTATTATCTGGACTTAAACATGAAACTGGTCCTAACTGAAGTGGTCTGTGCTGTTCATTAATACCTAAGGTAAGGCCCATAACACACTTTGTACTTTTTACAAACGTTTGCGTTTTGTATGAGAAAACAATGCAGACATTAAATCATATTCTGCTGTAGCCAAACAAATTGTGTATAAGCCGCTCCTGTTCCTGTAGGTCCTGTTGGTTTATATGATGTATAATCATATGAACACATGATTGATCCCCCACCGCACGTCACTGGTGTAGCCAGGTCTCTAATCTGCGCAAGGCTGAGAAAGAGCGCTCAGAGGCTGCGACAGATATTAGCCAGACAGAGCTTCATAAGCTTCTCCGACAGCATGGAGCGGGTTTTGGGCTGCAAGGAACGCAGGATAGTAATAACTTCTCGCTCCCGGCACACGCGGAGGGGGTGCGGCCGCACCCCCCGCACCCCTAGTTCCGACGTCTATGTGTGAGACAGGTTCTCTGGAACAATACACATTGCACAGAGTGTTCCACAGACCCCCTGAGCAGCAGGTGGAGCACTCTGAGCGAGAGATCACTGTTGAAACTATTCACATTTCAATACACCCTTTTATTTAACCAACAATGATTTGGTTCAATATTCACCTGATCATGATGCATGCTAATTGAAATGCTTGAATCTTTTATAAATGATGAATTAAAGTATATTTAGAAATATATTTGGTGAGTTGCACAAACAAATCAAAGAGGATTTAGCCTATATTCATATTTATAATATATGCTAATTTGAGTCTATATTAATCCATAACAATTGTTAATCATATACATTGTTTTATTTAGTCATATGCCATTATTTTTATTTTTTATTTGTGGAGAATAGACATTCAAAACAAATACAATACGACAAACAAGAAGAAAACAAACAACAAAGTGAATATTCACATAGGTGATCAGTTACAGTGATATTTACAAAGTAAGTGGAGAATCTGAACCAAGAGGAGAGAGAGAGGACAGTGACACCAACAGGAGAGGGAAAAGTGTGTGTGCGTATGTGTGTGTGTGTGTGCGTGTGCATGAGTGAGCGTGTGTGTGTGTGTGTGCGTGTGCATGAGTGAGCGTGTGTGTGTGTGTGTGTGTGCGTGTGCATGAGTGAGCGTGTGTGTGTGTGTGTGTGCATGTGTGAGCGTGTGTGTGTGAGTGTGTGCGTGTGCATGAGTGAGCGTGTGTGTGTGTGTGTGTGAGTGTGTGCACTTGTTTTCAACTCCTGGTGGGTTCCATAACCTGAGATTCCACTCACGTCATGGGGACTGGTTTTACGTGGTGGGGCCCGAACACCGGACCCCACTGGTCCAAGCTTAATAATCAATGGGTAATGCTTTTCTAACGGTCCTTATGCAGTCTCTGTAAAAATATGGAAAGGACCCCTGGAGGTTTACTTTCCTGAAAAAAGTGTGTTATGTGTCGGAACCCTGGTGGTGGGTTGCGGGATATCAAAGGAGGGGCACACTGGGGCAATTTCAGTCCAGCAGGCTGGAGCCAATCATGGAGCAGCACAACAGAGGAAATCAGGTGTCAGGCTAGAAAAAGGTGCAAGTGTGTGGTTCATTAGGCTGCAAGAAATCATGGAGGAGCACACTGAAGCGCACGCTTACAAACCACTGGTAAGTGCTGACTACAAGTCATGACTTCAAATTGTTATATAGAATGATTACAAATTATTTGTTGTTTGTGCAGCTTAGTCAAGAGTCCCTAATTGATGAAGTCGACTCAGATTCTGACGATTTAACTGTCAAGAAGAAACCTGTAAAAAAGTATGGAAAAAGAAAAATCAAAAACACTTTTCTTCAAGACTCGGAAAGTGACGAACCAAAGGCAAATAAGATTGTTATCATGCAGCTGCAAAAGAAGAAAAATGGGGGCAGGGTTTACAGCAAGAGACACTTCTGCCTCTACTGTTCAATGTCCTGCCACAAAATGTCCCGTCATTTGACTAGAAAACATGGAAATGAAAGTGACGTAGCCAGAGCATTGGCTCTACCTGTGAAATCTAAAGCACGTAAACTTCAGTTTGATTTGATCAGGAATAGTGGAAACCGTGAGCACAATTTTGAGGTTTTAAAGGCCGGCATTGGAACTTTAGTCCCAGCTAAACAGCCAAATTCCCCAGTTAAATCCAGTGAGTTTTTGCACTGTATAGACTGTGGGGCATTGCTTAAGCGAAAGTCGCTGTGGAGGCATGTGGCCAGGTGCCGGCTTTCACAGAAAGATGCCCAGGCTAAACCAGGTAGAAGTAGGGTCCAGTCCCTCTGCTCCCTAGCCCAGCCTGTACCGGAGGGCATCAGCAAAAAGCTGTGGTCTTTAATTTCGGCAATGCATCAGGATGAGGTCACGGGTGTTGTCAAAGCAGAAAAGGGGATTCTGAGACTCGGAGAGCACCTGTACTTAAAACACGGGCATGATAAGACTAAGCATGATTACATTAGGCAGAAAATGAGAGAAGTCGGTAGGTTAATTAACGAAGCAAAAACCGCAGGGAAACTGAAAACAATTAAGGATTTCTTTATTCCTTCCAACTTTAACCATGTGATTGATGCAGTCAGGTCTGTGGCTGGATATGATGAGGAAACAAATCAATACAAGACTCCATCCTTGGCCCTCAAACTCGGCCATAGCCTCAGAAAGCTAGCAGATATTCTTGAATGTGACTCAAAAATGGAGCATTGTGTTGATGAACTATTTATTAAAAACCTCCAACGAAGCCGGCTGCTTTTTGAGAAGAGGTGGGACGTCTGTGTTTCTTCTGCTGCCCTACAGACCCTCCGGCAAGCCAAGTGGAACACTCCGGACCTGCTCCCTCTGACTGAGGACGTTAGAGCCATGCATGCACATATTGAGGTATGTCGACCTGAATATGTGCAAACCCTAATAAGTGAGCCAACGTCTAAGCATTGGTCTAAACTGGCAGTTTTGACTCTTTGTGAGGTCATTATTTTCAATCGAAGAAGGGAAGGTGAGGTTTCAAAGATGCCACTGACAGCCTTTACCTTAAGAAGTAAGACTGGGATCCATTCTGACATTGCTCTGGGACTGTCCCAACTTGAGAAAAAGCTGTGTCAGCATTTTCAACGCATTGAAATTAAAGGGAAAAGAAGTCGGAAAGTGCCGGTTCTTTTGACTCCTGAAATGATTGCTTCGGATGGAGGTGCTGGTGGAGAACAGAAGGGCCTGTTCCATCTCTGACCATAACCCATACTTCTTTTCCCGCCCGGGCGCAGACACCCACATCAGGGGATCAGACTCCCTACGCCAGGTAGCCAAAGAATGTGGTGCGGTGCATCCAGAGATGCTATCCTCAACCAAACTTAGAAAGCACATAGCTACTATGTCTACAGTTCTCAATATGAAAGAGAATGAGATGGACATACTTGCCAACTTCCTCGGCCATGACATTCGCATCCACAGGCAATATTACAGACTACCAGAGGGGACACTGGAGCTGGCCAAAATCAGCAAAGTGTTGATGGCCATGGAGCAGGGAAGAGTGACGGAATTCGAAGGAAAGAGCCTCGACCAGATACAAATTGAGCCTGAAGGTAATTCTTGATATTATTAAAATATGTATGATTTTTTTCCCCTAAAGGCCACTTGTATTTTTATTTTCTGTGCGACAGGGAGAGCAGTAGAGATCCTCTCACAAACGGACGGGCTAAAAGAAACTTCAAGCGGAGAACCTTCAACCATTCATCCAGATGCACCCCATGGTAGTGGCAGTGCCCCTTCTGGTAAGTGTACCAGGTGGGGGATTACAGCCAGGCTGCTTGGTCCTAACCCTGGGAGTGTATATTGCTAATATATTTTTATTTCTCTCCCTAGAACGTGTAAGAAAGCCATGGTCTGCATCTGAGGTGAAGGCTGTGGAGAAGACCATGACACCTTTCATACAGACTGGAAAGGTCCCTGGGAAGTCTCACTGCCTGGCCTGCATTAATGCCTCACCAGATGACCTTAGACATCGGACATGGAGTGGCATTAAATTCTATGTCAAAAATAGAATCACTGCAATTCGAAAACAAAATCTAAAATAAAATTCCTTTAAAATAGTTGTTTGGTTTCTATTGACTGTTTTGTATTACTTAAAGTAGTCCCAGTAAAAAAAGATTATGTCTATGGGTCCCATTCTGAACGGCCCTGTCAAAGGGACCCACCAGGTAACAAAAACGTGTATGTGTGTGTGTGTGTGTGTGCATGAGTGAGCGTGTGTGTGTGTGTGTGTGTGTGCGTGAGTGAGCGTGTGTGTGTGTGTGTGCATGAGTGAGCGTGTGTGTGTGTGTGTGTGCGTGAGTGAGCGTGTGTGTGTGAGTGTGTGTGTGCGTGAGTGAGCGTGTGTGTATGTGTGTGTGAGTGCATGAGTGAGCGTGAGTGTGCGTGTGTGTGTGTGTGTGTGTGTGTGTGTGAGTGTGTGTGTGCATGAGTGAGCGTGTGTGTGCGTGAGTGAGCGTGTGTGTGTGTGAGTGAGCGTGTGTG